TAAATAATGTGGTTTGAAGATTCTAAATAAAATGGTTCGAAAAACAAAGTTCCCATTCATTTCAAATATCGGTCGATTTGCCACTATACTTTTTTCGTTTCTCTGGCAAATAGTCTGTCTGTTGTCGGAATAACAAAAAAGCTTTATTCAACACGTTTCTGACCTGTCATCTTCTTTTATGCAAAAAAATTTCAACTTCGTGAGTTCGGTTATCAATGCAGATATTTGATGACTAAGGCTTTTGAAACAAATTTTTTTGTAATGAAAAAATTAAACATGTCTTCAGCTTACGGACTCACTGCTGAATCAAATCGTGATTTAACACGAGAACGAAATGTACTTTTGTGTTCACGAACGCACTTAATTGGTTGTGGGTGATGGACAAGACAAGGAAACGTAATACTTATGATCCTTTATGATTCAGTACAATATAACTAAAATGATGACTCAACATATAAATATTTGCAGAGTAAAGTTTCAGACTCAATCAAAAATGCAGTCCCAGCGTAATTAATTTTTTTTTGAATATAATCTCGAGGTTTGTTCGTAGAAAATCATCTACATCGACGGTTATTCTGTAGAGTAACCAACCATGTCGAAAATTTGCTGATGAAAGTAGATAATATGTTATTGAAATCATTTTTGTTGTTGTTTTTTTTATGTTCCGAAAGATTGGTTTATGGTTGATTGTACATTTTTATCAATCCAGGCCCGTATTGTAATTGGAAATGGACGAGCATTCTAACAAACTGGATCAAGAGGCTAATCAAGAATAGGACAGAGGGAGGAACTTTTTTGGTGGTCTGTTTCACTGTATAATAGTTTAAAGAAAGGACTGCAAAACCTTTTTAACAAAAGTTGCTAAGCCTACTTACGGTTTGCCCTCTTTACATTTCTGTATAATTTTAGTCAGTTTTAGTTCCGAATACAGTGCATGCATAATGCGCACTAATAACGACGGCTGTTTTACGTTCCAGTAAGTAAGAGGGTATTTGCGAATTCTGATTAGTTGATTGTCACGTATATATTATGAAACAATTTCTGAATAGCGTTTCTTTGAGTATTAACGTCTTGCGAATCAAGGTGTTCTGTAGAGCATATGTTTGCAAGAGCGGTGAGTTTGTAGTTTTGAAAAATTTCGTAGAAAGGATGCCGTACTGTCTGTCGTGTATGTTGCACATGGCACCTTTATTCCTCGCAGCTATCGTTATCTCAGTTTCTGCGGCGGACTACAGTTATTTCGTTTGGCATCCGATCTGTATGACGCTAGCCGTGAGTATTCATTTTTGACTTCTTTCGCTTTGCGAATGCGATGCATTGTTGAATATGTTGACTTTTGAATAGTTCTTTATTATCTGTGCATAAACGGGCTTACTTTGCATAGTCAGGGTATCAACAGTTTCCCACACTAGAAACGCACTCGATGGTTGAATTGCAGCGTGATCACATCAGAATATCTTCACTGCAGTTATATCGATGCTGTTCAGCACCATCCACAAAATTAGCGGTTAAGAAAAATTGTTTTCTTGCACAGTGGTTGTGGACCAGATGGAATTAATTCATGGAGCACGCTATAGATGATTGCAAGATGATGTATATCTCAGAGATCCTTTGTGTGAAGCCGCTGTGTCGCCTGATCGAGAGTGCCCAGATGCAGTGGTTTGGGTGCATTTCGAATTCCACTAGAAAGGAAGGCGAAACAGTTATTACTTGCTCAGCCGAATGGCAGAGGACTCAGGAAACGGCCAAGTTTAATCTAATGCAAGTGTACTGGAGGAGCCCGCTGGAGACTCCGGTTGTCTTCGGCCGAAGCTCAGATCCTGGCACATTATCAGAAATGTTGGAAACACTGTCGAACGTGTCTATCTCTGCGACCTCTAAGGATATGCTGTTATCGAAACTGACTGACTGGTTTTAAGCCAGTGCGATATCATTTAGGAATACTGTAAAAATAAATATTTAACTTGGATTGATGGACGTATTTCGTAAAGTAGATGACATAAGTCGAAAATTATCTTATCATAAACTTAAGGAATGATGTTTGTCTTCCTTCTTTGAGGATTGATTCCTGCCTATTTGATTTTTCAGGTTTGCTGTACGTATCTTTTTCCTTGGTTGGAATTTCCGTTAAAGCATATGCACATGTGCCAACTCTAGATTGGCTGATGATCACTTAGTGTGGTTTATTTTCTTGGACATCGATAGTTACTATCAGCACAGAATGGTATCATCACAGTTTCCTAAGAACAACTATATGGTATGCCGAAGATAATGTGAAAAGTCGAGGCACGAGATATTTCGAGGTTTGTGCCTCATGCATTTACAGTCAACGTTTCCTTTCAAGCCTTATCAATGTCCAGTGTGTCCAGTACTTTAGTTATTTGCACTTCCATGATATAGACTTCGAACTGGCTCTTATAGATCATGTATGAATTGTTCGTGATACTCTATAGGGATACTTCATATGATGAGGACTTCTCGTTTACAACTTCACTTCTTCAACTATTCCAAATAGTTTGCCGCATTGCTTCGAAAGAAGAATTTTACTGTACTTTTTGATCATCACTTGGACCGGCTGGTAATCGGCGATGAATGGCGTTTCTCGGTTATGATCTTTAATAATTATTCGTTCTGAAAACGACTGCAAAACTTAGTAGAGGAAGGGTATAATTGCAGTCAAAGGACTTTGTTAACTTCTAATTTATGCACTGAATATACGGCATTATATTGCTGATGTATAAGTCCTCCAAGAAAAGGGAACGAAATTCATTCGAAGAGATAATGAACAATATTTTTGGTTATTTAATCTTTTTAAAGTAATAATTATTTTGTAAAATAAGCAGTGTTGTAAATTGCGTAACCATCACAAAAACAATCAGTAAATGGATAGTAAACAGTATTGAACCTGAGAACCAAACAT